CGTGACATCTCTCCCTCCAACACCACGTGACATCTCTCCCCATCCCTCCCCCCCCCAGGATCCCCGCTCCCTCCAACACCACGTGACATCTCTCCCCCTCCTCTCCCAGCTCCCCACAACACCATGTGACATTTCCCTTCCCCAAAACCACGTGACATATCTCCCCTCCCCCCCAACACCACGTGACATCTCCCCAAACACCACGTGACATACCCTCTCCCCCAATATCACGTGACATCTCCCCTTTCTCCCCAACACCACGTGATATCCCCCCCCCACACACACACACCACGTGACATCTCTCCATCCTCCCTCTCCCCCCAGGATCCCCGCTCCCCACAACACCACACTCCTGCTCCACGAGGCAGACGTGCTGTATCACATGGCGGAGTTTTCACGCGCCGCGCGGCGTTTTCTTGACGCTCTCTCCCTGGACCAGCGGCTCGTGGACGCTTACTGGCCGCTCCGGAACTGCTACGTCATGCTGGGTCAGTGGGTTTGTTTGTCTTTTCTTTACGCAATAGTTTTACGGCATTTGCAACACAATAGGCCTACGGTCATATAAATATAAGTGTCGAAGATTAGAGGTATCATAAGGAAAGCGTCAGCAAAAGCCAGCTCATGATATCTCCGGGGAACTCAAATACATGTATGTAAACATTTGGGAAATCAAATTCGTCATTGTCAGTTCAAATGCAGAATAGGAAAATTCAAATTGAACAATACGAAAAACTACGAAGCTATGACGTAACCATCGTCTCCGAGTCAGGGGAAGCTACCCTGTCTCTTAGCAACGTTCGTTGTTTACTGTTCACGTCTCTCGCATTCAATATTCGCCGTCTGCTTTCTAGATCTAGATTCTAGATCTAGATCTAGATATCTAGATCTAGATCTACACCTTTTTCCGATCAAATATCAAGATACAGAGTCCAAATGCAGCAATGAAAGTTCAAATATCTGTCTCTTAGCTACGTTCGTTGTTTACTGTTCTCGTCTCTCTCCGTCTGCTGTCTAGATCTAGATCTAGATCTAGTCTAGTCTAGATTCTAGATCTAGGTATTAGATTCCAGATCTAGAATTTAAATCTAACCGTCGCCATCATCTCGTTTTGTTAGATCCAACACTTGGACCGTTGTAACAGATTTTACCAGGAAGACACAGCGACATATTAAGCATGCCTGACCAAAAATCAAATAACACAAAGAGTCAGTCTCGAGGATTAACAGAGAATACCGGTATACGAGAAGCCTTTCTGCGAGGTGACGATTACATAATGCTCGCTAAACAGTTGCAAATCAACCGAAATAGCATACAGAGTACCGTACGCCGAGCGATAGGAACTGACGACATTGTTGAAAAAAAAATTCTGGAAAGTAACCACGGAAATAAAAGATGAGCTGGTTCCAATAGCCGCAAGTCACCCAGACAATACTTTCAACAAAATCAAAATTTATGTCTTCGGATGGCCCTGCCATACACATCTAGCATTTATCCAAGACATCGGCATTTCTCTGACTGTTGGGCATTTTTTTGGTCTTTCTTTTTTTGGGCTCAACAGCTTAAAAACACATTTCTGTGAGGATTTTGCTTTTAAAAAAGGTTGATTAAAGGCATACAAAAAATGTACATTTTCAGTTTCCAAGGACTCTCAAGCTATGGAAGTTACCAAACTTTGACAGCCATTTTCACATTAATTTTACCTGTGGAACCAGACGACCCTGACCTCCTTCAGTCGCAAATATCTCGACTTCTATTCAGCATAGATGGATATTTTTTCCACCAGAAGCAAGGCAAATGAACAGGCTTTGTAAGAAGATACCAATAGATATCTAACCCCATTTGCCCAAAACTGGACGAGCGCCCGATTCCACCACGTCGTGACACAAATATTTTCAGTCTCAGTTGGACGCCGCCCCCGCCCCCCCCCCCCAAAGGGTTATCTGTGCCGGAGAGGAGTGTCTTTCCACATCAACCTGTGACGTAGACAAAATTGCTCCTAGAGGCGACCTTCAAATACGGTCGCATTTAAGCACAAATCCCGAAACATGCTGTTTTGAGAAAATTGAAGGTAAAGTTTTTGCCCCTTGTTCAGTTTCTTTAAAAGACAAGGAGAGTTTTCTCTATAACCAAACAAATATACACACCAATGAAACCAAACTTCTCCTATAGGTAGGGCAATGCCCACTTTTGGTGCAGGTCAAGATTTCTGAGTGGAAATCCCCGAAATCTGGGTTGGCCCGCTTGTCCTTAAAAGCGACCATATTCTTGCGCCTGGAAGGGG